CCGGGTTGGCTACCGTCCCTCCCACCTCTGTGGAAGGGCGGTTCCCCCTGCCACCTTCCCCACTTCCGCGGGGGAGCGGCACACCACCGGCCGGCTCTCTCGGGGGCTGCTCAGGTGTTCCTTCAGATAGATGTTCCTGGTGCATGTTGTCTCTCTCCTCCTTTATAGTCCTCTTCCACCAATCCCAACTCTGCTACCCACACGCCAAGTACGCTGCTCTCCTCCAATCAGGAGCAGGTCCTGCTGTTTATTGGCTGAACTGGAGGCAGCTGTGTAGAAGCTGTTTCCTCCTCTCCCAGCGCCATATTGTGGGAGAGCAGATGCACAGAATAAGTCTTAATTCCAGTAACTTAGTCTAGTCCGAGTTGCTCCCAGTTGCTCCCCACACTTACTATGTCCATGTATATGTTTTTAATATAACAGATGTGTTGCCTGCAGTTGAAGGCAGCCTGCCTTCAATTATAACTGAAGGTTGAAATTTTCTTAATAGCTGATTTTGCATTGGCAACACAGTAAGATGGCTTTACTGAGGATGTGTTCATTGAAGTGCAATTTGAAATATAAGTAGAAGTTCCATAGTGACCTTTTGAAGAAAGGGATTATGATGAGTACAGGAAACTAAATGAATGCCAAACTGCAGAGTAAGGGAATTTATAGAGTGATGTGGCTAAAGATGTAGGTGAAAGAATGCAAGTTCTTAAAGGGTTCTATTTTTATATGATCAAATTTATAAAAAGGTTAAGATGATTTGTGAATGTGGAGAATGGACTACAAAGAGAACCAAAGACGAAGGTTAAACACCCTAGAAAGGATTGGAGAACTATTAAGAAGTTAATTCCAAGGGTCCAATGGACTAGATTTGGTAGAACGAAGCATGAGAGAAGAAGTGAGTTTAGTGAGGTTCCTTGGAGTAAACAATAAATTCTACAGTTGGTTATATCATTTATTGAGATAAAAGACATTCAGTTAGGGGGCATTATGAATTTGAGATCCCATTAAAGACATCCAAGATGCAGGGAAGTACCTAGATACATGATTCTAGAGGTTAGAAAAAGTGATCTGGACTACAACTATGTTAGTCATTGGTATACAAGGGGTAACTGAAATCATGAGGTTAGAGCAATTTGAAATGAAAAGACAAAATGATCTTATTGGATACCCCAAGATTTAATGGCTGAAAATAAGAGAAAAAAGCTTTTTTATTTATATCTTTTAGTCATTGAATTGTTATTCTTCCTTTCAAAGACTAATCCCGGGCCAATGTACTGGACTCCTCATTCAGGTCCTTTATCAGTTGTCTACAATCTGTTTCTAATACCTTCGGATTCTCTCTCTCAACAAAACTCCACCCTCAAACCTTTGTCATCTCCCTCTGCTACCCTTCGCAGTAAGGCTTTCTAAAAGGTAAAATGGTCTACTTTTATGGAATACTCAACTTCATGTACTATTCACTTCTAAAAACAATTATTTGACTTGTAACTTTCCTACTCTGAGAAATCTGCCTTTAACAGGCACAAATAAACAATTATTTTTATTGTCTAGCTGTCAAATGTTGATGTTCTCCAAAGTTTATCTACGATTCTTTTTCTCTTCTCATTCTAAAGCAAATATTTCTTGGCAAGTTTAACTATTTCCTTGGGATAAACTGCCACTATGTATTTAATGATTTCAATCTGCTTTTAACTACAAATCTCTCTCCCACATAGGCTACAATATACAAGACGCCTGTACTTGGTTATTCCACGGCAACCTCAAATTAAACATGTTCAAAACAGATGAAAACCTCAATTTATGATCTCCTTCCCCTAAAACATCAGAACTACAAATTCTGTGGCTCCTTCTTTATATCCATCCTCAACAAGCCACAAAACTCTCCAGGTGGAAACTTTTAGTCACCCTTGATTCCTTCTCTCAACTTTTACCACTTACACCTATAGAAATCTGTGTATTCATCAGTTTTGTTAATCCCAGTCACACCTGTAGCCACTTCATTTTCTTTTAGCACACTTTTTGCCATTCCATAAACAGCAAACATGATCATCATCATTCTTTTACTTTAAAATATTCAATGATTTCCATTAAGAAACAAAAAAGCCACCACACTCTTGCCTAACTTCTCTAGTCTCCTGTTAGCATTCCATAACAATCCTGAGAACTACTTGCACAGAAGCATGAAAGAAGATTTATTGAAGGTGCAGCCATACCATTCTCCATAATGGATTTCACTTTCCTTAATGCTTTCATCTTCTACATATCTTTTAAAAATCAGAATAAAGTTCTTGCTCAGCAGAAACTGTCCAAGTCCCCCCTCTCTCCAGATCACTTGTAGTTTACATTATTAAACCATTTACAGGTCCACCTCCCCCAACTGTGAACTCTAGGAAAGCAGAGACTAAGTATTTTTTTCCTCCTATTACCTCAGCTCTTAGCACTCTTCCCAGAACTTAGTGCATACTCAATAAATAGTTAACAGCACACCTAAACACAGTCTTTTAACTCTTGCTTTACACAAATATTTTATTTATTCTAATGGTCTATATTCAACTCTACTATATGCTGGCAAGTCAAAATATTTGGGATCACTTGGAAGCAAAGGTTTTGTCTTTGTTAAAAAAAAAAATAATAATTTTGTATTCTAAGATAGTGTTATACCAGAGGTAAATCCTGGTTTCATGAATGCCTTGTTGTGTACATGGCATGCTGCCCAAATTACAGACAAAATTGGAAAATAATTTCTCAGTTCTAGTAATAAGCAAATAAAGCACCATTACCATCACCTTAAGAAAAGTAAAAGGTTAAGTAATACAGTCAGAAGTAGGAGAATATGTAGTAAATTAGCTTATAAAATTACTTGTGGTATTTCAAAGTTTTCACTACATCAAGAATACACAAGAAGTTTCTATGGGATTTGTACTGTTTTTCTACTTTTTGTTTTGGTCTTCCTAGTTGTAATTTAGTGGTTATTTACTATAGGACAAATTTTGAACATACTATTCAATGTATTCATTTTCAGTACATTAAACTTTTTTTTTTCTTTTTCTTTTTTTTTTTTTTTTTTTTTTGACAGGCAGAGTGGACAGTGAGAGAGAGAGAGACAGAGAGAAAGGTTAAAGGTCTTCCTTTTGCCGTTGGTTCACCCTCCAATGGCCTCTGCGGCCAGCGCATTGCAGCCGGCACACCGCGCTGATCCGAAGCCAGGAGCCAGGTGCTTCTCCTGGTCTCCCATGCAGGTGCAGGGCCCAAGCACTTGGGCCATCCTCCACTACACTCCTGGGCCAGAGCACAGAGCTGGCCTGGAAGAGGGGCAACCGGGACAGAATCCGGCGCCCCGACCGGGACTAGAACCTGGGTGCCTGCGCCGCAAGGCGGAGGATTAGCCTAGTGAGCCATGGCGCCGGAGTACATTAATCTTACCTCCCCCAGATGAGACCATTTTTATTACTATGGATCTGAAATGACAAGACCTAAGCAAACAGTAATCACTGAGCAGCAATTTTACTAAGATTTGTATTGGTGAAAGATTTTAAATGAAAGCAACCTTGATCAAAGAAAATACTGTTAAATGGCAAGGTCTTCTGAATATGGTTGTTTAAAAAACTCCCAAAATTATAAAATTCACCAGTCACCATTTAGTGATACTAATTCCAATTTATCCAAAGGAATCAGACAAAAGCTTTCAACACATCAATGAGATTTAAAACAATTCAATGGCAAGAATTTCACCAAGGTATGGATGTATTAAAAAGTATCAGAGAGGGGCTGACGCTGTGACACAGTGGATTAAAGCCCTGGCCTGAAGTGTCAGCATCCCATATGGGCACCAGTTTGAGTCCTGGCTGCTCCTCTTCCAATCCACCTCTCTGCTGTGGCCTGGGAAAGCAATAGAAGATGGCCCAAGTCGTTGGGTCCCTGCACAAGCGTGGGAGACCCAGAAGAAGCTCCTGGCTCCTGGCTTCAGATCAGCTCAGCTCTGGCTGTTGTGGCCATTTGGGGAGTGAACCAGTGGATGGAAGACCTCTTTCTCTCTACCTCTCTCTGTAATTCTGTCTTTCAAATAAATAAAAACAAATCTTTAAAAAAAAATAAAGTATCAGAGATCACTGAGATAATAACACAGACGTGCAGGCAAAATTTGTGAGAACTTTATATAATATTTGCCAATCACAAATGCCTTTAAAAATCACTTACCCATCCCACCCCCAGCTCAATTTCAGAAAATTTTAAATCTAAAAACACGGCTCTAAATTTTTTCACATATAAAATTCATCTTTAATTTTAAAAAAGCTTCCATTTAGAGGTCACAAATCACCAGAAAACTAAAGTATGAAAACATCCAATTCTTTATCAGTTTTTTTTTTTTTTTCTGAGCGGGAGGGTGTAGAAACCTAAGTATTTTTTGTTTTTTGCAGCTGTTTTAACAGAAAACGACAATTAAATGTGTGAACAAGGTTGTCAGAGTAACACTTGTCATTCATACTGATCATGGAAAGACATCCCAAGACTTCTGGGAGCACTAATTAAAATTCAAGAAAGCTTCTCACGTAGAATAGTCGGAGAGGTATATCTTTCAAGACACAAAAAAACCAAACTGCCTCCAAGTTCAAGAGTTTCCGCTCTAAGGTCTAAATCCAAACCACCGGCCAAGGTACTAAAGAACTAAGCCCACAGGCTCAGCAGGCAACTCGTTTAAGTAATCGTCCCAATCCTTTGGATGTAACTCAACCATCCGGGAAAAGACCTCAGGGGGTGGGAAATGCGGAGTGAATTTTGCCTTAGCAATCAGAAGAGAAAGAGGGAGGGAAAGTATCTCTTCACTATCAATCTGAAAAGGGGACAAGTACCAGCTCCTTGGTAAGACCTGAAGGTTTTTCGCTTCACGAACTTTTTAACTCCACGTGAATGACGGCACTCAACCCGAGAAGAAGGCTGACTATTACCCACCTCTGGCCCCAGGAAACCCCAGAAATCCCTCACCCAGGACTCGGGTGGGCCTTTCTCACCTGGGCCCGGCAGAAGTCCGCCGTCCTTACGTGTGCTGCGCACTTTTCAGCAATACGCCTTGCGATTGGTTAACTCGGGAGGGACGCCTGAGTTCTATTGGCTACGAAAGCCAAGTTAGGAGCGAGGGGGCGGGAGTTTAGAACTGGCTCTGACAGGCCGGCTGCCTGAGTTCCCAGAGTTCCTATTGGGTCAATACGGGAGGCTGCAAGATGGCGGCAGTGGCAACCTGCGGCGCTGGTGCCGGGGGTACTGAGTCTATGGCGGCGGCAACCAGCAAGAGCAACGTCACCAGTTTCCAGAGGAGGGGTCCTAGAGCCAGCGGCACTGACAGCGGCGGCCCTCGACTGGTGTCCATTGCAGGCACGCGACCGTCGGTACGGAATGGACAGCTGCTGGTGTCAACCGGGCTGCCAGCCCTGGACCAGCTCTTAGGTCGGTTCGGAACTGAGATGGGCTCAATCCAGGGAAAACTGAGGGAGGGGACCTGTCGGGGAGTTACTGTGACCCCACATGTCTCTGTGACCTCCGTCAACCTTCGGACGTGAAGAGTATTATAGTCTGGGCTGATGGTGTTGGAGGGGAGGAAAGGTTGCATGGAGACGTCTGAACGCTGTTAACTAAGCCCGTTTTTGGTGTCCGCGCTCTCTATTTTCCTTCTCTGCCCACCGGCCCCTTTCCAGATTGCGACTGGATGCCTCCGTGCGTTTACCCTGAAGTGCTTGTACCCCGAGGGGAAGCACTGATGCATAGACACAGATTGGCGTTCATGTGGGATCTCCTTCTGGTCCCTTGAGTACACGCTGTCAACCCCGGGTAGCTCACGGTTTGGCCTAATCTACAAAACTTTTTGTGTATTTTTTTTTAATCCCTTGTGAAGGGCTTCATTAGAAAATGCTGAGAAAATAATTTTCTCCTTTTTTATCGCCAGGCTACTCATCTCCTGGTTCTAAATATGAAAACATAGTGGCTTAAGATAATGGATGTTAAAAGTTAAAAGTCTGTTCTAGTTATTTAGATAGTCTTGTCTGCATTAAATATATGCATACATATATTTGTTATTTTTGCTGTATACATTTTGCTTCCCAAGATTGCTTGCTTGTTCATGCCGTAAATGACATGTTTGCATTTAATTCACATTTTAACGAGGGAAAGAAGTCTACTATTAAGCTTTCTTTTGCAGTCTCTGGAATTTTCCATGAGAAGGCTGCTGAAGAATATGCTTGCTTCATAAATGTTAATTTTGAAAGGATTGACCAAATTCAATTGGACAAATCTGCTGTTAGTAAACCTTGAGGATTAGTTTATTTCTATCTGAATGCTGCTTATTAAAACTTGTGTGTTGACATTTGAGAACTTTTTTCATAGCCTGTAATATGTGTCTGTTAAATCTTATACACGTTCGGGAAGTATTGCAATTGCCATTGCTTGTCCTTGTACTTCACTTGACATTTTTTTCTCTGTAATTTTTCCTCTGAGACAGGCTTTTCAAATAGGTTTAGTGCAGAGGAACAAATAACAAGACAAGCAGCCTATGAGAAAGAATATGGCTTCTTGATTCTGTTATTTCATGTTCTAACTGGATCCTGGTTATTTCTACAAAAATTATTTCCTCTTAGTTTTTTCAAATTTGTGTCCTTCTTAGTAATAGTGTGCTATAAACAGAAATGATTCAAAATATCTAGTTAGCAAAATATCTAGTTAGTTCCTTGTGGGACTCACTTGGTATCAGTCTGTATTTGAACCTACACATAGGAAGCTATTCCTATTTCTTACACTTGTATATCTATATTTTGTAATTCAACAGGGATGTGTAATTTCTTCCACTTAGTACTAAGAGTGTCCAAATGAAAAGATCACATTTCTGGCATTTTGCCTCAGTTTCTCATAAGAATAAGAGATTGTGCCTAGCATAGTTTCTGAATCTAAGTAGCTTCTAAGTAAGTTCTTGATTGAAAGAAAAATAACATGTAGGGGAAAAAAACCACACAAGACATGGTAAAACATTTAAAATAATGTTATATGTGTGAGCTCCAAAAATAGATTCCAAAATGAGATGATACAGTCACAAAATTAGTAACCATTAGTGACTTCAGGCTCCAAAGTTAGTGCTCTCTGCACTATGTTGCAGCTGTCTCAAAATTTTGAGAACTGTTTTCAGGGGGTCTTGACAATTTATTGAATTTAAGATTAATGTTCTAACTTTTAAGCCACCTTCTACAGAGATATAAACTTGGAAAGTAGTTTAAACTGGCTTGCAGGTGGAAGACTCTAGTATTTGTAACAAACGTTTGATAAAAATTAGCGATATTTCTTACATGTGTGCACTTGGTTATTATATTTAGAAAAATAAATATGTCCAGGAGTATTTTAGTTGTTAACTTATTACTGACATTCTTGTATTTTGATTTTCTGTCTTGTATGGTCCTGGGAAGCAAACACTTTGCATTTGTTTTTCATTAAAGCATTCTTGGAAAGTGCAACTTTTGGCTGCTAATGTGTATACACATGAGTAAAAGCAACTCAGAGTATATTGTTGCTCTGACATGTTATTGATGCAGATTGTGACTAGCCTAATATGACCATATTGTGACAAAAGGTAATGAAAGTAGGATGTTCTGATACTAGTGATAAGACTAATATGCCATTGTGATTTGCCTAAAAATAAAAGGTTGGTGTGTAACAAGTACAGTACCATTTTGCTACTACCTCTGTGACATCATTGTAATTTGAAGCCTAGATGCAAAATATATTAGAAAGACATCATTCAAGGTTTTGAATGTTATTCATTTGATGATATCCTGATACTCCCATTTCTGGCTCTGTTTTAAGAATTTGAAGTTTTCCATAATCTGCCTTTTAAAAACATGGTGTAATCATATTAAATATTTTCATGCTGAAAGCTTTATGGTTAGGTTTTGACGTACATTTCCCAAGTTGGATACATTTAAAATTTTCAGGCTTGTAGATTTCCTAACTCAGGTTCTCAACCCTGCCCCTCCAGAACATTTATGTTATTTGAGGGCACTATGTGTAAGTAACACAGTTATATTTTGGAAAAGGATAGGAACTTGGTTAGACAGATATTCCATTTCTGTTCCTACAAGAACTACCAAAGAAACATATAGCAAGTAAAGTATATAAAAGTAAAGACATTCTAACAGAATGTCTTTATTTTTCCTTTTCCCTAGGATGTAAGGTACAGTCCATTTTAGGACCATGTATTTAATCTGGAAGAATTATCCCCCAGCCTCATCCTCCAAAACAATATTTGAAAAAAAGGGGAACTTTGCAAGCTTGTTAGCTTAACCCCTGTGCTGTTAAGGTATTTTGATAGTTAAGAGGATGACAGGGTTTGAGGTAAATAATGTATCAGGAAGAGTACTTCGGAAGAAAGTTGAGGGGTAGCTGCCGTTTAACATTGAGTCCAAAAAGAAAATACTGATATGGTGAACTTCTTTCCTTTATCCTACTAAATCTTAGTGGTGTGGGATGACATAATCCTGGCTTTAGTATTTTATTGCTTTTAACTATCTATTTGAAACACACGGAAAAAGAAAGAGAGATCTCCCATATATTGATTCACTCCCATATGCTTGCATCAGCTAAAGCTGGGTCAGGCCAAAGCCAGGAGCTCAGAATTCCATCTGGATCTCCCACATGGGTGGCAGATTCTTGAGTACTTGAGCCATCATTTGCGGCCTTCCAGGGTGCATTAGCAGGAGGCAGTAGGATTGGATCAGAAGAGAAGCCAGGACATGAACTCGGGCTCTCTGAGAAGAGATGGGAGCCTCTAAGCAGTGGCTTAACCTCTGCACAATAACACCGGCCCCGTTATTTTAGTAACTGATAACAGGTAGATGTACGCTGAGGGAAAAATTTAACTTATTCCTTTGTATTGCTATTTAAAACTTTTACATGTGGTTTAATATAAGGAACTGTTATTACCATTCATTGTTTATATTTTGATTTCCATATTTGCCCAGCCAATAGTGTGTCACAATCAAGAGTTAGCATACTTCATAATGCTTAATGAAGAAAAAATAGCAGACTTATTAATGGAAACTATAATTTGAGATATAATTTGAAGATATTGCTTTGAACCATGAAACGACTATGAAATAGTTTTTCTCAATTGCATTTTCCCCAAATCCCTTTATAATTTTACATATAATTATTTCTTTATATCAAGCTCTAGAAAATGACTAGTGTAAATCAATATTAACTTTCCTTTGTTGCTTTTCCCTTTTATTTTCTTAGTTTAGAAAAATACAATTGCTCTTCTTTACAAATAAGATATCACCTTTGGACCTTCATATTCTAGTATATTAATTGACCTTGTTTACCCAAAATTTATGACCAAATTAGAGATTTTTTTTTTGGAAATGAAGATTGAATTTTCTATTCCTCACATGAATTAAAATAACAAAAGTCCATCACTGCATATTTTAAAAATCATAAGAAAGGTAGATATTGGCATACACAAGATCTCTAATTCTCTGATATATATATATATATTTTAAAGATTTGTTTAAGATTTATGTATTTATTTGAAGAACAGAGTTACAGAAAGAGAGGAACATCCCCTGGTTCACTCCCCAAATGGCCACAATGGCCAGAACTGAGCAGATCTAAAGCCAGGAGTTTATTCTAGATCTCCCATGTGGGTGCAGGGGCCCAAGGACTTGGGCCATCTTCCACTGCTTTCCCAGGCCATCAAAAAGGAGCTCGATCTGAAGAGTGGCCAGGATATGAACCAGCATCCACGTGGGATGCCAATGCTGCAGGAGGAGGCTTAGCTACACCATAGCGCCAGCACCTGATACTGCTTTCTTAAATATTATTTTTTTCCTAGCTTTAAGACAAAATGAGAAGCATATGATTTTTAAAGACAGAATCCTGGGCAGTCATTTGTTGCAGTGATTAGGAAGCTTCTTGGGATGCCTGTATCACATAACAGTACCTGAGTTCAAGTCCTGGCTCTGCTTCTGATTCCAGACACCTGCTAATGCACAGCCCAGAGGCAACAGGCAGTGGCTCAATCCTGAATCCCTAGATCACAGCTCTATCCTGCTCCAGCCTGGCTGTTGCAGATATTTGTGGAAGATTCACTTTCTGTCTGCCTCTGTCTCTCTAAAGTAAATTTTAAAATTTTTAAGACATAGAATCTTGATGAAACTACTGCTTTAAAATATCAAGCTTGAGAGTATCTTTAAAGAGTTCTGAAAGTGAAGTCAGGAGTTTGTTTATGTAGCAACCTGTAAAGTTGTGTTGGTGATTTTTCAATGTTAGGATGAAAGGGAAGAGGAGGTTGCTTCTTTCTTAACTTCCTTACCTCTTGATTTCTGTGTAAAATGTATTAGTGGACTATTATGGGAAAACAAATTCTCTTTTAATTAGGAACTGTTACTGTGAAGTTTGTGCTGCTTTTGAACTTAAATTACTATAAATTACTTATTTTTAAGGATTTAAAGCAAGATTTCAAGAAATATGTCAATATATTCTGTTGTGCTTGGTTCTTTTTACTTAATGTATTTATGGGTAAATGTGTCACTATGAATGTACTCAAGCTTCCCAGTTTAAAATACAGCTAGAACCATAGTATATCAAAATAGCTTTTACAAAGGTTTTTTTTTACAGAAATAGAAGGTCATGTCACACTGAAGTCAAGCTTGAGAGAATAGAGGAATTTTGCTACCATAAATGTATATATGTCAGATTATTTCAATTCATACACATAGGATAAAAAGCTTAATATTTTCTGGTTTTTTTTTTGTTTTGTTTTGTTTTTTTAAGATTTATTTATTTATTTGAAAGGCAGAGCAGGAGAGAGGCACTGACAGATCTTTCACCACTCAAATGTCCACAATGGCCAGAGCTGGGTCAGACCGAAGCCAGGAGCTTCATCTGGGTCTCCCACATGGGTGTAGGGCCCTAAGCACTTGGGTCATCTGCTGCTGCTTTCCCGCGTGCATGAGCTGAGAACTGGATTGGAATTGGAACAGCCGAGACTCGAACCGGCACCCGTTTGGGATGCCAGCACTGCAGGTGGAGGCTTAACCACAGTGCTCACCCCAAAAGGCTTGATTTTAAAAAGCTTTAAATTAGTTAATAACATGACAACCCGTCAAAATAACCAACCTTTATCAGAGCCAATCTAAATTTGGATCTAGTGAATTTACATAATAGAGTTCATTAGGAAAAAAAGAAAAGTTTAGCTTAGTGTAAGAGAAGTCCTGAAAAAATATTAATTTGGTTGATATATCATTGACTTTGTCCTGATTGTGTTAAGTAATGTCCTAAAAGCTTTCTACATATTAGAATTGCTTTAAATCTTGTTTATTCAAGAAGCAATATGACAGTGAGGTCCCCTTTGGTTCTCTCCCCAAAGGCCCACAATAGCCAGAACTAGTAAAGTCAGGCACTCAATCCAGGCCTCCCACATGGATGACAGGAACTTAGTAGCTTAAGCAGTCACTGCTGCTTTCCTGAGTCTGTATTAGCAGAAAGCTGGAATCAGGAGCCAAGGCAGAGCCAGTGGTTGAACCCAGATATTCTGATGTGGGCCATATACCTGGGCCCTGGGGTGTTAATTAGGCTGAATGTCCATCCTCACACAGTAGAATTTTAATTCACATTGAATTTTTAAAATTTTGAGTTGTGTTTGAATTATCCGTAACACAGAGTTGTTTGGATCATTCTTACAGAAAACTACCAGTTTGTATAACACTTTGCTTAGTATGAGGACACATGATAAACATAAATACAAGGCTGGATAAGATACCTAAATTCTACCTATAGGAAATAAAGAAAGCCACTGAACTTTTTTTTTTGTTTTTCATTTTTTTTAAGATTTTTATTTGAGAGGTAGAGTTACAGACAGTGAGAGGGAGAGACAGAGAGAAAGGTCTTCCTTCTGTTGGTTCACTCCCCAGATGGCTACAATCTGAAGGCAGGAGCCAGGAGCTTCTCCGGGTCTCCCACACAGGTGCAAGGGCCCAAGGACTTGGGCCATCTTCTACTGCTTTACCAGGCCATAGCAGAGTGCTGGATTGGAAGAGGAGCAGCCGGGACTAGAACCGGCACCCATATGGGATGCCGGCGCCGCAGGCAGAGAATTAACTAAGTGAGCCACAGCACGGGCCCCACCACTGAACGTTTTTAAAAAATCTTTTTTTTTTTTTTTTTTTTTTGACAGGCAGAGTGGACAGTGAGAGAGAGAGACAGAGAGAAAGGTCTTCCTTTGCCGTTGGTTCACCCTCCAAAAAAAAAAAATCTGAAATTCATTTATTAAGTTAATAAAACCAAGCTATGTTCTTTAAAATACCAGTCTCTACATTAGGTCATAGGAAGACAAAAATGATTCTCCCAAAATTGCTCCTCCCTAAAAAATTTCAGATTCTAGTTGGGAAAATAGATGTCTGAACACAGAATTTCAGTAAAGTGGATTTAGCATAGGTCTGCAAAGGATGAAATTACAACAATTTAGTTTAAAGATCTTAATTGGCTTTATTTTCAGTTCTAGAATTCGACAACACTTCATTCCATGAAATGGAATAAGTGTTCCTGCTCTAGCGTAGACACTGCAATGTCTTATGTGCTTATATTATTTTATCTCCTTTAACAAATAAAAGGTAGCAATTAGGCGATTAATATTTATTTTTCCATGTAAGGGAAAGTAAGGAATTTCAAAGTGTGACGTAGGGGCCTGCACTAGCGGATAAAACCAACACCTGCAGTTCTGGCATCCTATATGGGCGCCGGTTCAAGTCCCAACTGCCCCACTTCCAATTCAGCACTCTGCCATGTCTTGGGAAAGTGATAGAAGATGGCTCAAGTTCTTGGGTCCCTGCACCCAAGTGAGAGACCCAGAAGAAGCTCCTGGCTCCTGGCTTTGGATCAGCACAGCTCCAGCCATTGTGGCCATCTGGGGAGTGAACCAGCAGTTGGGAGACTTAAAAAAAGTGTGATGTAAAATGTTCAAAATGTATTACAAAGTTAGTGCTTGTCTGTATGTTACTCAATTTTGAAATTAAACATTTTGATCCCATGTGATTCCTCATCATATTTATTTCAGCTTATGTTAATTTTTTCATCTGAAAGATGGTTGAAATTATCCCGTTTAGATCTGGTATAGCATTAAATGCTGTAATGGAAGAAATTATCTAAATTATAAATTAAAATATATATTGAATCCTATTCTAAATCCACTGCTACATTAATATGGAAATGTACAACTATTTTCTGTTCTTTACTTCCTTGTCTGGAAAGGAAAGATTGCTTGTATCATCGTAAAATTGATTTCAAGTCTCACCATGAATCAGCATAAGCCACATGATGGGTGTTATTCTGTGTGCGTATGTGTTACTGGATTTCAGATTATTTGAAATATGCTTATTTCCTGGGGAAAAAATATGCACCATGAAAGGAAATTTTCATACTAAATTATTCTACCTGATGTCTGTAACAACAAAATGTTTTGGCAGAAAATTCGTTGCTGGTTTCTAATTATTTCTCTCACAGTTTTGTGCATAGACAAAAACAAAATCTGGTAACATTGTCTTCTATTGCCCCACAATTTTAAGTTTTCTTTTAAATTAATTATTATTTAAACCTTTCTATTCATTTTTGATAAGCATGTGTTTTGTTTATAAAGAATAATTCTAGTAATATTGAAAATGTTTTGTGATTATATCCTTTTTTGTTTGAAAGGAAAAAAATAGCTACATTTTAAATATATTTATAGCATTCCAGATATAATATAGATTATACACAATAATAAAAAATTGATAATTAGCTTTATTATTAATTCTTTTCTCCAAAATCTCCTAAATTTTAAGATAATTATCAACTTGGAATTTCTATCATAATAACCTTGGTTTTCTATGGTGTATTCTGTAGTAGAGTTACTGTGCACATTTAGACCTTAGCTACTGAGTTAATTTATTAATATGTGCTAAATATAACATTACTGGAATGCTTACACAGTTATGTTGAATTCTGCATGGTTCTATCACAGGAGAAATGAGGATAGTACAATATATTATGAAAGTAATTGTAATGTGTAGTATGTAATTACATATAATGTATAATTATTTCATAATAGCACCTTGCACAAAGTATTGCAGAGGTAATTAAAATGTTGTTCACAACTACATTTTTAAAGTTGCTGAAGTACCTGTCCTTGATGAAGCCTAAGTTCTAAAGATAATGTAAACTGCAGATTAATTTTCTTCTTGATGTTGTTTCATTTCCAGGTGGAGGTTTGGCCGTTGGAACAGTTCTTCTAGTTGGTTAGTATGAAACACATGCTTTGCTCTTCCTGGTCAGTTTTTCTGTTGTGCATAATGATTTTATGAGTTTTTCCATTCTGAAATTAAATATTGAAGCTATTAGCTTCCTACAAAGTTAAGGTAAATTAAAGATGAATTGCCTTAACTTCTAATTTAAATTCAAACGTTGATCTGAAATGAAGTAAATTAGGCATATACAACTGAAAACCTAACTCTTATAATTTGAAAATGTTCACAGTTTATTCTGCTCTGTTTTTTAAGGCAAAAATTAATGCAAATTGATTTTTTGAGTAATCTCAATATATACAATGGGATTATTACATTGATTAATTTGAGAAATTAATGCACTAATATATATTGTATACAAATAGATTTTATTGTCTTATTGGAAGAAAAGTAGCAAAGTAATAAATCATATTGTTCATCCTTTTAAAGCAGCATTACTTCAATTTATACTCCATTAGCCTTATTTTTGGTGTAAATCATACAATCTTTAAATGAATCTTGACAGCTACATAACCAAAGTGTTCATATTAATATTTGATCCATATACCTGTGACATATCCATTGTTAGTAGTTTTACTTCTAGTATATAGTAAAAAATGAATCGACCTACTTTTTCATGTAACACTCTTAAAATATTTGATAGCTATTTTTATCACCTCAGATCTCTAGAGATGTCATTTCTCTTTTCATTTTTTTTTTTTTAGTTTTTAAATTTTTTATAAAGAAAACTATTTCACATATGTAGTTTTAGGAACATAATGATACTTCCCACCCTACACTCCCTTGCTTGCACTTTCTCCCTCCTGCTTTTCTTAATATTCTTTTAATTTTTGCAATGACATACTTCCAATTTCCTTTATAATCACAAACCTCCACTAAATAAAGAATTTACCAAGTACTAAGTAGAAAAAACATTGTTCTTCAGGAGTATAGACAGGTGCTATAAACAATAATCAAATCTCAAAATATCAATTTCACTCATGCATTACATTTTTGATACTCTGTATATTAGTTACCACAATCAGGGAACGTATATGATATTTGCCTTTTAGGGGATTGTTTTATTTCACAAACCACAATGGCCTCCAATTGCATCCATTTTGTTGCAAAAGACAGGATTTCATTTTTTTTTTATGGCTGAGTAGTATTCTATCATGTACATATACTACAACTTACTTATGCATTCCTCAACTGATGGACATCTGGGTTGACTCCATATCTTCGCCATTGTGAATTGATCTGATATAAACATGGGGGTAAAGATAACTTTTTCATATGCTGATTTCATTTTCTTTGGGTAAATTCCCAGGAGTGAAATGGCTAGATTATATGGTAGTTCTATTTTCAGATTTCTGAGGAAATCTGTAGTGCCTTCCATGATGGTTGTACTAGTTTACATTCCCAACGACTGTGTTTACTTCCTTCTCTGGAAAGGAAAGATTGCTTGTATTGTCATAAAGTTGGGATTTCAAGTCTCACCATAAATCAGCATTTCCCCCCACATCCTAGACAGCATTTGTTAATTTTGATTTTTGGATGATAACCATTCTAACTGGGGTGAGGTGACACCTCATGGTGGTTTATTTTTGCTTTTCCCTGATACCAAGTAATCTGGAGCATGTTTTTGTATTGGCCATTTGTATTTCATTCTTTGAAAAATGCCTGTTCATATCCTTATCCCATTTCTTAACTGGATTGTTTTGTTCTGAATTTCTTTAGTATTTTTTCTATTCTGGATATTAATTTTTTTCAGGTGTATAGTTTACAGATATTTTCTCCCATTTTGTCAGTTGCCTCTTTGTTGAGTGCCTCCTTTGCTGTGCAGAGCTTCTTAGCTTGATGTAATTCCATTTGTTTATTTTTGCCTTTATTCTGTGCTTATGGAGTCTTATCCAAGAAGTCCTTGCCTATGTCAGTGTCTTCCCTCTGTTTTCCTCTACTAACTTGATGGTTTAGGTCTTGGGTCTAGATCCTTGATACATTGTGAGTTGATTTTTGTATAGAGTATCATATTTTATACATCTGATATACAGAGATCCAATTTATACAGAGATCCAATTTTCCCAACAGCATTTGTTGAAGATACTATCTTTTCTCCAAGGAGTTATTTTAGCTTCTCCAAAATCAGTTGTTTGTAGGTGTATGGATTAATTAATCGAGTTTCTAATCTGTTCCATTGGCCCCATATGTCTATGCTTATGTGTCGCTCCCCGTCTTCGTGGAGGAACGACACAGGACCCCGCGCTGTTCTTTTGTCTGCTCGGCCCTCCCCGGGTTTGCTGCTGGTTCTTCCCGGGTTGGCTACCGTCCCTCCACCTCCGTGGAGGGGTGGTTCCCCCTGCCACATTCCCCACCTCCGCAGGGGAGCGGCACACCGCCGGCCGGCTCTCTCGGGGGCTGCACAGGTGCTCCCCTTAGATGTTCCTGGTGCATGTTGTCTCCCCCCTCCCCTACAGTCCTCCTCCGCCAATCCCAACTCGGCTGCCCACACGCCAAGTACGCTGCTCTCCTCCAATCAGGAGCAGGATCAGCTCCTGGAGGTCATCACTCAAGTTGGCAAGAGGCAGCTGCGTAGAAGCTGTTTTCTCCTCTCCCAGCGCCATATTGTGGGAGAGCAGATGCATAGAATAAGTCTTAATTCCAGTAACTCAGTCCAGTCTGGGTTGCTCCCCACACTTATGCCTATAACAGGCTGTTTCATTCTGCTCTATGAAGTCTGGTATTGTGCTACTTCCAACTTTTTTTTTTTGTTTTTTTTTTTTTTTTTGTTTGTTTTTTTTTGTTTTTTTGTCAGGCAGAGTTAGTGAGAGAGAAAGAGAGAGACAGAGAAAGGTCTTCCTTGTCCATTGGTTCACCCCCCAAATGACTGCCACAGCTGGCGTGCTGCGCTGATCCAAAGCCAGGAGCCAGGTGCTTCCTCCTGGTCTCCCATGGGGTGCAGGGCCCAAGCAGTTGGGCCATCCACCACTGCCTTCCCGGGCCACAGCAGAGAGCTGGACTGCAAGAGGAGCAGCTGGGACAGAATCCGGCCCCCCAACCAGGACTAGAATCCAGGGTGCCAGCGCTGCGGGTGGAAGATTAGCCAAGTGAGCCACGGCGCTAGCCCCCAACTTTATTTTTAATGTTTAATATTTCTTTAACTATTTGGGGTCTCTTGTGAGTCCATATGATTTTTTTATTTTTTTTTTTTTTGACAGGCAGAGTGGACAGTGAGAGAGAGAGAGACAGAGAGAAAGGTCTTCCTTTTGCCGTTGGTTCACCCTCCAATGGCCGCCGTGGTCGGCCCGCTGCAGCCGGCGCATCGCGCTGATCTGAAGCCAGAGCCACGTGCTTTTCCTGGTCTCCCATGCGGGTGCAGGGCCCAAGCACTTGGGCCATCCTCCACTGCACTCCCGGGCCATAGCAGAGAGCTGGCCTGGAAGAGGGGTAACCAGGACAGAATCCGGCTCCCCGACCCGGACTAGAACCCCGTGTGCTGGCACTGCAAGGCGGAGGATTAGCCTATTGAGCCACGGCGCTGGCCGGAGTCCATATGAATTTTAGGATTGTTTTTTTCCAGATTTGAAAAGAACATCTTTGGTGTTTTGGTTGGCATCACATTGAATCTATAAATTGGCTTAGATAGTATGGACATTTTGTTATTAATTCTTCTAATCCATGAACATGGAATATTTTTCCATTTTTTATGTCTACTTCTGTTTCTTTCCTAATAGTTTTATAATTTGCATTCTAGAGTTCTTTCATCTATTTGGTTAAATTTATCTCAGGGTATTTACATTTTTTTTTTATAACTATGGTGAATAGTACTGATCTTACAAGTTCTTTCTCATCCATGGCATTGTTTGTGTATACAAACACTACCAATTTTTTTTTTAAAAAGACATTTATTTATTTGAAAACCAGAGTCACAGAGACGGAGAGAGAGAGGGAAAGGTCTTCCATCTGCTGGTTCACTCCCTAGATGGTCACAATGGCCAGAGCTGTACAAGTCCGAAGCCAGGAGCTAGGAGCTTCTTCTGGTCTCCAACATGGGTGTAGGGGCCCAAGGACTTGGGCCGTTTTCTACTGATTTCCCAGGCCACAGCAGAGAGCTGGATTGGAAGTGGAGCAGCCGGGGCTTGAACCAGCGCCCATATGTGATGCCGTTACTGTAGACTAGGGTTTTACCTCGCTGTACCACAGCGCCACCCCATGCTGTTGATTTTGTATGTTGATTTTATAATTTTTCTATTGATATAACATGAACAAACTTTATCTAATTCATATATATGGATTTAGGAGCATAGTCAGATTTTCTTGACTGGAAACTCACAAGTTTTTAGTATATACTTTCTTTTTCTTTTTTTTAAAGCTTTTATTTAATGAATGCAAATTTCATAGGTACAACTTTAGGGATATAATGGTTCTTCCCCCCATAGACACCCTCCCACCCCCACTACTGTCCTACCTCCTACTCCCTCTCCCATTTCATTCTTCATTAATATTCATTTTTAATTAACTTTATATACAGATGACCAACTCTATACTAAGTAAAGATTTCAACAGTTTGCACACATACACAGACACAGTGTAAAAATTACTGTTTGACAACAAGTTTTGCAGTTAATTCTCATAGTAAAACTCATTAAGGACAAAGGTCCTACATGGGGAGTAAGTGCCCAGTGACTTCTGTTGTTAATTTAACAATTAACATTCTTATTTATGACGTCAGTGATCACCTGAGTCTCTTGCCATGAGCCGCCAAGGCTATGGAAGCCTTTTGTAACCACAAACTCTGTCAATATTTAGACAAGGCTATAAGCAAAGTGGAAGTTCTTTCCTCCCTTCAGAGAAAAATACATCCTTCTTTGATGGCCTCTCTTCCCAGTGGGATCTCCCTCACAGAGATCTTTCATGCAGTATATTTTTTGCCACAGTGTCTTGGCTTTCCAAGCCTAAACTGCTCTTATGGGCTTTTCAGCCACATCTGAATGCCTTAAGGGCTGATGCTGAGG